AGCAGCCGGGCGCGCTGCGACCGCCGGTCCCCGCGGGCGGGTGGCGGAGCCTGCGAGGGGAGACCTCCCCCTCGCGGGGACGTTGATGTTGAGGACACGACTCCGTACAGCCCTGAGCAGCCTGGACCCAAGGGCAAACCTGACCCCTCGTTCCCATTATGCAACCTTCTTCTTCGACTTGTAGCTCTAGTTTCGACATTAAATTAACCCCAACGTAATGACAGCTCCTTGCCAGATTCTCCTTTTGAAGCTTACACACTACTGTTACTTGGAAAAAGTGGGGTTTCTTGGGGTAAACCATCAGTCCAAGGCACCTCTCCCGAGGCCCTGAGTGCACTAACAGGCCCTAAGGCGCTGGCCAGCCTCCCCCCACCCCCTGCCCAGGGGCCCAGGAGCCCATTTCAGGGAAGCCCTGGGCGTTCAGCCCCCACCTGGGCTGTGCTGTAGGTGTGCTGGTCTCCAGCTCACCGCGGCCTTGCCCCTGCCTGGCATTGGGCCCTGTTGATCTAGACCTGACTCGCAGACGGACTTCCCGGCCTGACGTCGTCACCACGAACTCGCCTGGCGAGCACAGCTCTTGGTTGAACCCGGCCACCGTCTGCCGGTCTGCCCTGCTCGGGTGCTGTGGGGCCGGGCCCCTGCTGCTCCGGCACAGCCTGTGAAAACACACTATTTTTATCTAAAGGAGAACTCGAATGGGCAAAGAATGTTTCGCTTCTGCTTTCATCTAGATTGACATCAGAACATGGCACAACCTTTAAAAAAAAAATTAGTTGGTCCAACAGTCCTCAAAGGAAAAAACCACTGTAGTCCTCTTTAAATGCCCTTTTTAAGCTGCGCAGTCGACGCACTAGAAAGCTCGGCTGCTTCCGCTGGCAGCGCGTGCTCGCCAAGAAACGCTGTTCTCAAACTGCGCGTTTCTAGCACGTCCTCTGCCTCCCGCGGGCGACAAAAGCACAAACCCAGCAAAGGGGAATCTTAGCCCTCCTGAAAGAGCGGCGGCAGCACGTTGTTTCCAGCCGGGCCTCTGCCCCACAGCAGCTCCCCGGAGCCGGGCGGAGCCGGCAGCGCTGCCC